AATATTCATTTAAATCTTTATTCAAAATTAAAGTCCTGTAATTAAATTAATTAAAGTCCTTCCTGTAATTTTTCATACAATCATCCACTATAGAAACATAAATTACAACTATTTAAACCGAATATGAAAAAGACAATTACAATATTATTACAATGTTTCAATAAAATTGAAATTTTATCCGTGCAATATGAATATTTAATCAAATTTCCAATATTTCCCTAAAGATTCATCTACCAAGTACGATCTACATATCTAAATAAGGTAAAGCTGGGATCTATTTCTTAAAAATAATATAAATATTCTTGACTAAATACTTTTATTTTACTTAACTTTTTTTAGATATAAAATAATATTTTCTTAAAACAATATCTTTTTTTTACAGTTTACTGGAAAACAGAGTAGAAAAAATCAATATCTTCGTACTAAATTAAAAACAAAAATTATACAAGTTTGATAAGATGAGAAAAATATGTTCCTTTATGTGAAATCTCATTGTTTTTCTAAAGCTTATCTTTTCTACGTTTTTTGTACATTGAGCATACCAAATCTATTAGGCCTGAAATCTTTGTAAGCTCATCGGTAACATTTTGTGCACTGTGTACATATATCAGAAGAGTATGGAGCATTTGTGCAAAATAATATCTTCATCACTTTCATCACTTGAACTTTCATTTACGCATTTTCTTTTAATGAGTTTTTCAACTGTTACTATTCTTTTGTTCTTCATTACTTTGATTTTAATTACTTTATTCAAGTTCTCTTTTATTATCTTCGTAGGATGATAAAAGTTATTTTAGATAACTTACATTGCTTATATTTATATTCCCTAATGGAAATTTGGTAGTTTAGTTTCGATTTCTTGGCTTAACGCAGGCTTTTCTACCAAAAGGCTTTCACATCAATTCTTCAAGAGGAACGTCGATATTTTTTTACGTTCTAGAATCTCTTATTCTAGAATCTCTCAAAGGATATTGAAAAATTTCGCCGTTTTTTTTTACATTATTTTCTCAAACTACTTTCATTAATTGCTAATATTCGATTTTTACTCGTTTTTTTAGAATTTTTTCAGCAGAATCCGCCTAAAATGAATATAATTGCGTGCCTTATGTGAGACTTGTTCCATGATAGAAGTCTCCAATGGTCTTGTATTAGGAAACTATGATGATAACTATTCAATTAAAAGATTAACCTTTAAAGATTAATCTTTTATTATTTTACAATATATAATCAGTAAGTTTTAGACTTTGTTGTTTGTACTATACAATAGTACTTAAGAAAATGATTAAACACTCACCATGTTGAAGATATTTATAATTGAATGAGAATCTTTCAGAAACTTTTTGCAATGCAATTCACAGACGTGCGTGAATGATCACGTTCGACAGTTCCATAACGAAGATAAGCTAAGGACTCATATTGAGGAGGTGCCATATTAGAATAAAATATTAGGATATAAATTATTTGGAAGATGTTTTTAAACACAAGTAAACACAAATGGAAAGAAGCAATTACAAATTGCAATCATCGGTGCAATTCATCTCATTACTCTTACACCACTAAATCACTCGAACAGAATCTCAAACCATTATTTTGAACAATCGTGAAGATCATCGTGTCACTATGGGAAAGAAGTGGTTACAGATTGACTAACACGATCTATCTCTGAAATCTTGGCACCGGTATTATCATTTTTGACCTGTGATGATTATCATTTGTTAAGACTCATAAATAAAGAAGATTACGTAGGTCGGTAGCCGATGGTGTAATTGAATCAAAATATAGAGGTATCGTGTTATATGCCTCGGGCAATCATAACTCAGGCTATCTCGTCTCTGTGTCGGTCCGTATCCATGGCGGCTACGGGGGATGCGCCGAGATGCCTCTATATAAAGGGTGACATTTCTAACCCCGGACACTTGTTCCACAGCAGCAACAGACCGCGAACGTCGCGTATCCTTCCTGCGAACGCAACCGTCTCCCTTCTGTTTCCCTATCTATCTTTCTTCTTTACCTTCGTCTTGTGAAACTACAGGATCAAGGGGAGCAACTTGACACGTTCGAAGACCATCGAGGAAGATCTTCGATAGTCATAACAGCGAGATTTACAACATGGTGAGTGTTTCAATGTTCTTCTTGTGAATCTTTGGTGGACCAGTGGATCTCTTCGTTCGGATCTTCTTTTGTTTGATTTTCTATCTTTCTATCTTTTTTGACTTTCGATTTATTTTATTCTTCTTTCCTTGGAATACGTTTAGATTTTACTAAATAATGCTCTGCGCATTTTCATGCAATTTGAAGATCGTGATTCGACTTTTGTTTTTTTTTTTTTTTTTGCTGAAATATAGTATCCAGCCGGCAAAATTTTCCTTTCTAATTTATATTTGCAAGCGTATTTTAGCTCACTGGAAACGAAAATAATGATCATTCTTTCACGGTTTTGAAAATTCAGTCTGATGAACTATACTAGTCGGCCTGCAAAAGTTTCATTTGAATATGTATATTTTGGAGGGATAGCTTAGATTGCTAAATACGAAAATGATAATCATTTGTGACAGAAATAAACATTAAAATAACGACCAGCAAAGGACATTTCTCTTAAAAAAAAAAAATATGGATTTGGTTTGGATTAGGTATATCCCCGGCGGAAGCCAGCTAGCTATTGAACAATTAATTGAACAATTAAGTTTCACCTTATGAAACTAACAACAGTAATAGAGCTGCAATAAAGAATTATTTATAAGAATTTTCAAAATTATTTATTTATGTCAAAAATATTTATTTATGTCAAAAATAATCTTCGTTTCTTTAACGATCTAAAGTAACCACCATCAGAACAGATATTTGCAATCCGACTATTACAGTTTCAGAACTGCTTGTTTCCCTGAATGATCATCATTCTTGTTTCTAGCAATCTAAAATTTAAGAAAAAAAATTAAATTAAACGTAAATTCAACTCTGACTGTTTACTCTTTGACTCATCGACTCTTCGAAAGTTACTCAACTTTTCGAACTTAATTTGAGCTACAACTCAATTCAACTGCCTTCAACTTTGACTTTTCTGCGACTCACTCTCTCTTTTTATGTCTTCACATCCCTCATTCTCCCCGAGTCTGATGACGTTTCAGCCTGACAATAAAATTAATCGTACTATTAAACTAAAATTAATCCTACGATTAAATCCTACAATACTATATAATTGATGATAAATAGAACGAGGACTTCGTTGTTGCTTTTTGCATTTGCCATCCCCCCCAAATATTATTTATCTTATGCTTCTTCATCTTCATTTTCTTTCTGACAACAATAATAACTAAGCGAAAGTCGATAGAAAATAATGAGAAAATAATAGAAGCAATATTAAAAGCGCTCGAATATTTTCATTCCTCCTCTGCTCTCATTACTACGATATTATGACTATGTTTTTAATTATTTTGCATCTGTTTTTCCGTTCTGGCGATTTATTATTATACTTCAGTCGAGACAGTAATTGAAACATTATATTCGTTCATCTACGAGCCCATGTAATTTGTAAACGCACATTAATTTATTTTGATTCGAATATTGGTTGACATTTTTTTGAATTAAATTGGTTAAATAATTTAAATATACTCAGTTTCTTACTATTTTTTCTTATTTTTTTTTTTTTT